CGGGCGCGCCGCCCGCTGCCTCCCTCCCGGGTGACGCGTCTGGCGGCTCCGGGTGAGCTCGCCCTGGGTGGCCGCGACGCCCGTTCCCGCGCTCCGGGAGTCTCTCGGCTGACAGGGCGCTTCGCCGGCAGCAAGACTTTGACCCCGCATTCTGGCCAGGGAGGCCTGGAGGCCCACAGGGCCGGGCGCCCCAACTCCACGCCGGCGGGGACCTTTGGCCGCGGGGGCCTGGGGCTAGGGGGTCCCCCGGAGCGCGCTGGCCAGGTCACCAAGGCCTGCCCCTCACCCAAAGGTGCGCTGCTCACGAGAGCTGAAGGCCGGGGGTAGCCCCCAACGCCCAGCCTGGCCCTCGCTGTGCGTCGCCTGAGGCCCCTGGGCCCAACCAGCGCCTCAGACCGGTTGCTGGTCCGGTCCCCTGAGAGCAGGCTGCAGAGCCGTCAACATGGGGACCCTCAGGCCTGGGGCCACCAGGCCCGGGTGGTGTCAGGGAGCTCTTCCGAGGGGTTCCGCCCTCGCCTCAGAAGGGCCCCTGCATGGGTGACCCGAATAAAATCAGGGCAGGGTTCTGGGGTTTGCGGCCCAAGGGCCGTGGCCAGGCTGGCTGCAGGTCTGGGGTCAAGCGGGCCCAGACAAGAACGCCATTAACCAGGTATTCCTGCCCGCACCCCCAGAACCCCTGCTGCACCCCCATCCCCAGCCAGCACTCACTGCCCCCAGGAGATCTGAGCACAGGGCTCTGGCCTGGGCCGGCCTGGTACAGGGGTCCGGGGTCCTCAGCATGGGAACTGGGTCCCCAAAAATAAACAGCTCAACAAAAAACGAACAACAGTAGCCTTGACTGAGGAGAACAGATGGGCTCCAGCAGAAAGAGCGTGAAGGCCCGGAGCGAAGGCCGAGCCCTCTGGCCAGGCACTGCCCCACCTGCCCACTCCCCCCAGCCCACCCGTTTTCTCTGCCTTTCACTGTGGAAAAGCCTGAAAACAGAGCCCTCAGTCCCCGGCTCCTTCGTGGCCGGGGTAGGCTGCAGGCTGGAATTCCGGGCCGTGCTCCTGGAGACAAGGGCGCGCAGCAGAATTCCTCTTCCCCGAGGAGGTCCGCGCGGTGCTGTTAAAGTGTTACTACTTGGGAAACCTTTCTGAGGGCAGCAGGCTGTGGACGGAATGTTCTGGACACCGGACAAGCTAAGTCAGGAGTTAGTTCTGGCTCTGGGACCTGGGGGATGGGGTCTCCCATCAGTCTCCTTACCTGGAAGATGGGGTGCTGGGCACGTCCTCTGTTCTTGTGCAGTGACTGAGGCCAAATGAGAAATGTCCCCAGGGAACTAAGGGAAAGGGTAGATTGTGCAGAACCAACAGTTCTGCTGGACAGAAGGCAGAGAAACCCCAGCTGGTGTAGGCGCCATATAGCCGGGGCGGCGGGGAGGACGGTGCAGTTATTGTGTCGCAGCCTCTTCTGCAGCTGTGCTAAGAGCCTCTGGGGGGCCTGTCGCCCCAGAGGTGGTGTCCCCAGAGTCTCAGGGAAGTCCCTGGGTGCCCTGGGCAGTGCACAGCTCTAACACGCCTGTCTCTAGCTCCAGAGTCCTGGGGTCAACATGGGCCGACTGGAGGGGAAGGTGATCGTGCTGACGGCTGCCGCCCAGGGCATCGGCCGGGCTGCTGCCTTGGTGAGTTTCTCCCTCAGGGCTGGCTCCCTGACCTCTGCGGCATCCAACGATGCGGGCAGCTTCCACGGTCATCCGGTTCCCTTCTCCCTTTCTCCGTTGACTTTGTGCTTCTGCTGTCTTCAGTTACAAAAGAGGAGTGGGGACACCCCAGGCAGGTGGGCAGGGGGAGGAATACACCCCTCACCGGTTTACTGTGTGACCCAGAGGGGGTCACCAAGTGTCCGTGGGCGGAGGGCTCAGGGCTCCAAGCCAGCAGCTCCCCTTCCGGCCCATCAGCGCCACGCCCTCCCGCAGGCTCAGGAGGAACGGTGTTCAAATAACCCACTTTCCTCTTGGTCACTGGCGCTGAGTCTCCGCTCAGAGGTGGCACCAGATGCTCAGTCCCGGGAGTAGAGGCATCCACTGAGGCTTTACATTCTTGCACCCACTGTTTCACTGGGGTTACCTACAGGCAAAACCCACGGCAGGTACTAGGCACGTCACATTCTTTTTATTAGCGATAAGAAGAGGGGCCCTGCAGAGGAGCTGAATCCTTCCCTTGATGGAGACAGCCGAGATCTGGGTGAAAGGAGAGGAGGCCGGAGGCCGCCTTGGGAGAGCAGATCTCCGCAAACAAAGAGCTCACTTGTGCTCCCTGTCCACCAGGCTTTTGCAAGAGAAGGCGCCAGAGTCATAGCCACAGACATCAATGAGAGCAAACTCCAGGAGCTGGAGCAGTGCCCAGGTGAGCGCCCAGACCCGCCCGCTGGACCCCGCAGCCCAGCCCTGGAGTGCACTTGCGTTTCTCTTTTCCAGTCAAAGACATCTCCTTACACTCTTTATCTGTCCAATCACTGTAGGGTTCGGGGGCCTGATCACCCAGTCTTCTGGGATGATATGACCTTTTTTTTTTTTTTTTAAAGATTTATTTATTTATTCATACAGAACTGGGGCACAGGCCAGAGATGCGGAGGGTGAGAGGATTCACCAGAGACAGAGTGGGGAGCAGAACAGGCAGATCAACGAAGTACACTGCTGAGGGGAGCAGTGGGCGGGTCAGGAGAGGTCTGCCACGCCATGTGGTCCCCTCCGGGGCAGGCGGGAATCGAACTCATGCGGAAGTGGCTTTAGATTCTCAGTGCTGTGCTTTAACCCGCTGCGCCACCAGGTAGGGCCAACCTTTTTTTAATGGTTGATACACTTTTGTTCTGCATCTCCCTGGTAGCAGTCCAGTCCAGCAGGAAAGTGTCGTTTTAAAGTCCCTGATGGAAATATTTACACAGTAAGAAGAAAAAGGTGCAAATTCACCTTGCTGATGATGTGTTTACCTTGCTAGCTCTAAAATATTTTCACTTTACCATTCCTTCAACGTGAAAACTATTCATGCCATTTCATATCTCTCGTGTTCAAATTTTGAAATCCAGTATATTTTACACTTGGAGTACCTTTCCCTCCAGACCCTGCACTGCAAGAGCTCAGTGGACTTCTGTGGCTAGGGGCTTTGGGGGATGCTTACCTGAAACCGCACACCATGGTCGGAAGCCTAGGGGTTACCCTAGGTACTAAGTGACTTCACCCCTTACTGCTCCCATGGAACCCAGCGCTGAGGACGTCCCCCGAGTCACTCTGAGGAAGTGGTGCAGAACACTGGCTGATCACTCTCCTGACTAGCTGACGGAGGCATCAGCCCCTCACACACACCCACACGCACGCCTGCTCGCACGGTGCAGTGGCCTGCAACCGCCAGTCCACGTGAAGCCGCAGGGCTGGGCAAGCACCAGGGGCTGAAAGTCTCCGGAAAGGCCGTCTTCCCTGTCACTGTTGATCTCTCCCTTTGTTATTCTCTTCTTTCTGCATGCAGAAGAGAACAGCAAACCATGTATCCTCGTGTTTTAAAAATGGGAGTGGTGGCCGCCGCTTGCGTTGGCCGATGCTCCGTCTGCCGTTGCCAGGACAGGTGCGTCTCGGACGCCTGCGCCCCACCTTCGCGCCGCATCCAAGCGTGCCTGCGGATTCTCTCGACCCGAGAGGCATTTCTAATAAGAATGGCATCGGCATAAACACAAGCCCTCTCCGTGGCCAGTGCTCCTCCCTCAGCCGGCCGGAGCAGTCAGGTCCCAGGGGCCACCTAGCCTCTGGGGAAGTGGGTGGCAGTGAGCCTGTGGCCCCCACAGCCGGCTTTCCAAGAAGCACCTCACAGATAAGTGCACCTTCCCCCAAAGGCGTCACTCAGACGCCTTATTTTTCAATTTAGAGAACGCCAGAGAGCAGGGTACGGAGGGGTGTGTCCCTGGGGGATCTCGAGGATTTCTGAGTTTTGCTAGTAACTCCTAGGCCCCCCGTGCAGCCGTGGGTGCAGCCTTCCCACTTCTGCGCCGTCTGTGAGGCTGACCTGTGAGTGGTATCTCTGGTGGTGTTTTCCAGGTATTCAGACTCGGGTCCTGGATGTCACCAAGAAGAAACAAATCGACCAGTTCGCCAGTGAGGTTGAGCGACTTGACGTTCTCTTTAACGTCGCGGGGTAATCAGCCCTTTGACTTCTCGCTCTGTGTGGAAAACGCTCCAAGACTTCAGTGATCACTGTGGATCATAATATACTCCTTAGGGACATTGGTTAGGTTTTGGGCAGAAGAGTATTAGAACTCAGACCGTGAAGGCGCCAGCTGGACAGAGTCACGCACTGGGGCAGCTGGCACCAAAAAGCGTCTCAGGCTGGTAGCAGGCTGGGGCCACTTGGGGTGATCGATGAACCCTTGGTTGGAAGACAGTGTTCCCAGTGTTTAGGCATGAGATGCGGGTAGGTCCTGCAGGTCTCCCAGCTCGGGGCTTCTCGGGACAGTGCCAGCACCTGCACTTGCCATGAAGGAGAATGGCTCCCCGAGCTCACCAGGGGTTCTCCAGGCTCACCAGGGGGCTCCCAGCCTTCTGGACCATGTGAGTGAGGCAAATGAGAACAGGGACAGCCCAGGGAGCTCGAGGGTGCCCGTCCGCCCCCTCCCAGACAGAAGCATAGTTCAGTGCCCACAGGAACCCAGGAGGCCCCCTCTCTGATGTAGGTAGAGTCATTTGCACACAGCTACTTTGATGTGGATATGAAGAGCCTTACAGATGTTTGCGGCTCTTCCTAACCATCCTTTCGGTTAACACCAGAGGCTCCGTTTATCCACAGTCTACCACCTGTTACAAGTGTGGAAATTTTACAGTGGACAACTATATTATAAATAATGTGCCACCAGTGAGGCCATACGCAGCCATGACAACATCAGCAACCTTAGCTTAAATGACTGCTCGAGTAGCCAGTTCTCAGCGGTGTGAGGGGATACAGAGACAGCATTTGGGTCCTGGCATTTGCTGAAGTGGGGAGCTACAGGCAGAGGGAGTCACAGCCAACAGTATTTCTCACTTGATTATGTGGGTGGGCCGTGAAACCAGGATTCAAGAGTCTGAAGCTCCCTTGAGGGGTCAAGTTAAGGCTATTGTAGGCCTTTGTTTTGTCCTGTTTGGTCTTCTGGTCCTGTGAGAGCCGCCACGACAATACTGAGTTTCTTGGGTCTCCTCCCTCTTGAATTCCCTGTGCCAGCAGGGGGCGCTGCCGCCCCCTTGGTCCTAGCCATGTGGGTGTCCCAGACTGCTGGGCAAAGCTGCTGTTTGGTGGCCCCCAGGTCTGATGTCTTCTCCAAGAAGGATTCATTTTCAAGTCACTGCACTTAGCTAACATGTTTGGGACGCTCACCTGGTGTGCTGAGACCGAGCTCGAGTCGTGGGAAAGCGCAGTGGGGGGCTAAGTGGCACGGGGCCAGGGCGCAGCCGTGCGTGAGCTGACTCTCCCTCGGCCCCTCACCTCCAGCTTCGTGCACCACGGAACCATCCTGGACTGCGAGGAGAAGGACTGGGACTTCTCCATGAACCTCAACGTCCGCAGCATGTACCTGATGATCAAGGCCTTTCTTCCTAAAGTAAGACGCCCCACCTGCCCCCCCACACCCGCCCTCCTTGGGGCTCCACTGGGCACCAGAAGGAGTCCCGGGATCTGAGCCTGCTCACTGGACCACGACCGTGTGGGGTCCATCTCTGTCGAGACGTTTCCTATAAACCCCCGTAGGACCCCTCGAGGCAGCTGTGTGAGGCCCTTTCCACGTTCCTGGCCCCTGCAGGTGCATCAGATCAGAGAACCGAGGTCCTACAAGGGACAGCCATCCCGAGCCTGGGAGGTCAGCCAAAGTCAGCTGAAAAAGAGCAAGGAGTCAGGCCCAGGAGGTTCGGGGCCTCCCCTCTGTCTTAGGAGAGTCCCAGGCACAGAGACATTATTGGATCGATGATCTAGGGCCCAGTTGTCAGCCCAGGCGTTGGACTGGCTGGAGGCCTGAGAGGCCAAGGTCAGTCAGGGGCGGGAGCCCAGGCTGTGGGGGCAGGGAACGTGTCAGAGCAGTAACCAGGTCACCAGAGGGAACCTCTTCCCAGGCTCCTGAGTCTCAGCCGTGTGGGTCTTGCGTAGCTCTGCTGCCCCAGGACAGCGGGTGGGCTGGGTGAAGGGGCAGATGCAGGGGGCAGGCTGGCTCTCCAGTTAGTGGGTGACCTGGTTCCGTGGACAGGACACGAGTGGGGGGCTTCACCCTCATCTCTAGGTCCCCCACGCTAACCTTCCGCCTGAGGAGTGACCAACCATTCCGGAAGAGTAGACACGGGACTTACTAGCATCCTCACGTGCACATGAGTCAGTATGTACCCCATACGCATTAAAACTGAGAGACAGTACCCTGGTTTCTCTTTGAATCAAATAACCCTTTCGGCCTTTACTAGAGATTTCCATGGAAGGAAGCACTTGAGGGACTGAAACTTTCAGGCTTTGATTGGGTGAGGCTGAGAAAACAATAGGTGGGTCGTAGTGTTGGCTCCCACAGCACATATTTGTAACGGGCTTTACGAGCCAAGCACAGCTCAGCAACGCTGGGGGAAATAAATAAAACTGGGCTCCATTCCCGTAGGGTTGCCTCAGCCTCCACGGAAGGGGCAGGGCGGCCCCTCCCTCAGGCTGTCGTGGGCGCCCTGCACGCACTGTCCAGGGAACGTCCCCGCGTGCTGGGGTCAGTCGTGAGCACCCTAGAGTGTGTGTGTCCCCGGCGGCGGCTCTGCTCCTTTGTTCCTGGGCTCCGGGCTGGGCCCTCTGCCTTCCTGTCTATGGTCTGCTGTCCGGACAAGCAGCCACCACCCTACTTATGAGACCTTCCACCTGCGGGGGATACTGGAGGCCAGGTTCTTGGGGAACCCACCCCGGGTTGGGGGGCACCTCCCTAAGCAGGCCGAGCTTCGACCTCCCCCTCTGTCAGAAATTGTAGCACCTCCTCTTTTATTACTCCTGCTCAGCTGCTCACAGTGGGGAACCGATCACCTCCATATCAGACCCCAGAACCCCCACCCCGGCAGCCCTCCCAGTCCCACTGTGCTGCCCACAGGCTCAGCCCAAGCCCCCACCTGCTGCCCTGCGGCCTCCTCCCTCCCTCCCTGCTTTCTGGCCTCAGCCCTCAGCATCCCAGCGTCGAGGCCCAGGCTTCCTTGGTAACTGTGCCCTCTCCCTCAGACCTGCCCTTTGGTGTTGCATTCCTGACACTAGTCTCCAAACACCAGCTCACCTGTTTCCCCCTCTGACGGTCTCTGGCCTCCAGGCTTGGTTCTCTGTGACGGCCCTGTGGTCACGGTGCACCGGGCAGCCGGGCAACTCTCTAGGGTAGGGGCCCGGCTGCTCCTGGACGCGGGGTCATGTGTGCCCCGGCCTCAGGGCTGTGCTCACACCGCTGCCATAAGTTCATTCTGGAGAAGTCTCACTGATGCCCTTCACCCTGCAAGGCGGTGAGCCCCTAAAATGTCCCTGCAGGAGAGCACGCACATACCAGCACAGAGAGGACATCGCTGGGACGGCTGCTGGGGCTGGCCAGCAGCCCGGTAATCACGTCACAGTGGCATTTTTGGTCTTTGTTCTGTCTTGCAGATGCTTGCTCAGAAGTCTGGCAACATTATCAACATGTCCTCTGTGGCCTCCAGCATCAAAGGTAGGCAGGCAGGCCGTCCTCGGGCCCCGCACGCATGTACCACATGGCTGAGGGTTTGGGGTGCCCACGGGCAGAGACCTTACACCCACACGTTTCCAACTGCTCTGTTCTCCTTACCCTGATTTCCCCTGGAATCTGCCTGAGTTACACCAACCCGTGAGGAAAGCCAAGACCCCACTGCCCTGGAGGCGGGCATCCCAGCAGCTGGTGCCACGAGTTGTGGCCTCCCCCCAGCCTCCAAGCCTGCCCTGCTAGGGGAGAGCCTGGCCAGAGAGGGGGTGGCGCCTGCGGGTTCCGTCGCTGTGCGTGACGCCCACCCCGCCTCCCGCAGGTGTGGTGAACAGATGTGTGTACAGCGCCACCAAGGCCGCGGTGATCGGCCTCACCAAGTCCGTGGCCGCCGACTTCATCCAGCAGGGCATCCGCTGCAACTGCGTGTGTCCAGGTGCGTGCGCCCGATGGCGGCGTGGGCCTCGCGCCAGCGCTTGGCCACGTGTCGTGCTGAGTCTGGCCCCGCGGGCGGGTGCAGTTGCAGAAAGGTCCGGGCTTCATTGGAGAACAGCCACAGCCCGCAGGAAGGCTGGGACCTCAGGCCCTGCATGAGGGGGACAGTCCACAGAGCCAGTGCTGCCAGTGCGCGGCCAGTGCCCTCGCCAGGCGGGGTGTTTGGCGGCCACCAGGGGACCCTTCAGGGGAGGGCCGGGGAGCCAACAGGAGGCACGTGAGAGGGGCCTCCCAGACACCCAGCATGGGGTGTCGTCTGCTGGAGGGCTCATGCCAAGGTGCTGTGAAAGGGGTGGGCCTCCTGCGGCTGAGGGCCGAGCTGGGTCCCTGCTGCCAGCACAGCTGAGTGCCACAGCCCACGCCCCCTGGCTGAGCGCCGGCCCTGGCTGTGTTCGGGAGGTGCAGTAGAACCCGTGGTTGAAGCAGATGGGATGGTTCTCAAAGCCCCAAACATTTATTCTCTGGCTCCTCAGGCCCCATTTCATGTGAAAGAAAAACAGAACTTTCTTATTACAAGAGAGGATATGTCATTTGTCAAAACCAGAGCATTCAACAGCTTACTCTTAGGAGTAACTTCTCGTTTTCACACTGCTCAGTGTCTGCTAAGGAGACACGTCACCAGCCCCGCGGGAAGACAGGGGCCGAGAATCGCACGCCTCCAGCTTGGAGAGAAAGCCAGCATTGCATCCTGGCGCCCTGGCTCACTCCAGACTGCACAGCAGGGCCCCGGGCTTGGGAGATGCAGCATTTCAGAACGAGCTGTGGGCAGAGAGGATTTAGGGCAGGCGCTGATACGTGCAGTTGGGGAATGCCACAGGAGAGTCCGGTGTGAGCCACCCCGTCCCCCCTCGCACTGAAAACTGCTGACCGAGTGGTGATGCTTCACTCAGATGTAGGATTTCCATGTTGACATGTTCTGAGGAGGCATCGAACACGGGGGGGTCAGCCCACACCCTGGAGGTGCTTGAGTCTAGACACATTCACCCAATGGAATGGGTGGAAGTGACTTGGAAAATGTGGTTATTTTAGCAGCTGGACTTTCAGGAGACTGGAAAATGTTATCAAACTGCCTGGGACAGGGAAGTGGCCGTGACTCACCAGCCACCTGACAAGGGCCTGCAGTCCAGCTTATCTGGTCTAGGCACGGTGCTATGTGGTGGACGGGGGCATGAACACAGGCCTGTGATGATGCCCGTGGTCGGGAGCACAGCCTGCTCTCGGTTTTCACGTCACAACCACCAACGCAGAGTGTCAGGCACGTGCCAGTGGGCCTGGTGGGAAGAGGGGTCGTCAGTACAGTGCTGGGCTTTTGCGGAGGAATGGGAGGAAAATACCCTCAGAACCTGGAGAAAAAGTGATCGGGTTTATAGAATGCTTGCCTGCAGGACCATGGCAGGTGGAGGCCTACACAGCTGGGGGTGCACCCAAAGTGAGACCCAGGTGGGGACAGCACGGCCCTCTTCATAACGCCGGGCAGAGGGAGAGAGGCCTCAGAAAGCTGCTGCTTGAGAAGGTGCCCGGCCTCCCTGGGGACATGGCCCGTGATGTTGAAAGTCAGGAGTGTTTCTGACTTGAAATTCCCGGGACAGTCCCGGGTGGCCCAGCCATGAGGCTCAGGCCTTGACCACAGCACCCTTGACCAGTCACAGGCCCTCAGGAGGACTCACGCTTTGCAGGAGCCGGCAGGGATGCCCGGGGACTTGCCCCGTGGGAGCAGAGCTGGGGCTTTGGGAAATGACAGTACCAGTCTCCTTTTTCTTTTTCTTTTTTCTGATATGAATTAATTTTAAATCATATTTGTTGATAAGAAACATGGAACTGTGGTTACAGATAAGAATTCAGGGCCCTCCCTGGTGGTGCAAGGGGTAAGATGCAGCACTATGAAGCTGTCGCAGCCACTGTAGCACAAGTTCGATCTGCGGCCAGGGAGTGACCCACAGGCCCGGCACACCTCTCCTGTCTCCCTGCTGCTTCCTTCAGTGTACTTCGTCCATCCACCTGTTCTGCTCCCCACTCTGTCTCTGCTGAATCCTCTCACCCCCCTCACCTCTGTCCTGTACCCCCAGTTCTATGTGCATAAATAAATATATCTTTTTTTAAAAAGAATTAAAAGCCCATGAAAATAAGCAAAGCAACGAAGAAAATTTAGAGCCCCCTCACTGCCTACACTGGGCCGGGCTGGAGCTGTGCCTAGGTCCCCAGGGGAGTGGACCTGCAGCAGAGGACGTCCATGAGCAGCGAGGTGGTTCAGGCCTGCGTGCTGGCCAGGCGCCTGTGCGCTTCTGTCTACCCCTTGGGCTTTTGTGACTGATGTGACATGTCATTAGCACATAAAAGTACTTAAAACCATAAAGTGTCATGTGAGTAAAATACATGCCCGTGGGAGCGCTGGCTGGCACACCGGCGTCCCCATCGTGTCAGGATTAGTGTTTTTAAAATCATAGAAATGGAATTTAAAGAGGCCGGGAGCCTGCGGACACGGTGGAGGCGGCAAGAGCTGCAACTTGCTTTCCCATCTGGCGGGGGTGCGGGGCCACATGGGAAGGAGACTGAAGGGCCGTCCTGTGTCTGTTTTGTGTTTCCTTTAGGAACGGTCGATACCCCATCCCTGCAAGAGAGAATCCAAGCCAGGCCCAATCCTGAGGAGGTACGGCAGCTGTCTGAGGTGTTTCAGCCGTCTCGTTTTAAAATGCCCTGTCGCTCACCTGAGCACAACATTCACAGAAAGTAGACAGGCGAGAGCCGCGGGAGGAAGGGGAGCCCCCAGGTTCACGGAGCAGAGCGCCGGTTTCGCAGGAGGCAGAGCGTTCTGGGGAGGCCCTACACGATCACATGCTGGGCGTGACCCCACTCACCTGCTCTCCTGACAGTGGTCCAGAGGGCAAATGTTCAGTCACGCAGCGTTTGTACAACTTCAGGTCTTCAAATCTTTAATATTTGCGTCCTGATCTGTCATGGGTCTGTATGTTGTAGCAGAACAGAAGCATGTGATATCTGCAGAGGGTCTGGAGCCCCCAGCCTGTCAGCCTGACCCTCAGTCTGCAGAGTGACGTCTCTTAGGTCGTGATGCCCAGTTAACTGGGGCAGCCAGCCACAGGCACCTCTCTGGGGATCCTCTTACCTTTGACCCCAAGCCCAACTCAGTCATGTCTGGTCACAGGCCCTGAGCGACTTCCTGAAGAGACAGAAGACTGGGAGGTTCGCAACTGCAGAAGAAGTAGCCCTACTGTGCGTGTACCTGGCGTCGGACGAGGTGAGTCTCCTTGCCCAGGGAGTTCACTGTCCCCGTCACCATCAGCCTCTGTGACTGTCAGAGAGCGTCAACAGGTGCATGACTTACCTGTCCAGGTGTTGCGTTCCCACTACAGGAGTGAGGTCTGGTTTAACTTCCCCAAATAACCGCATCGGTCCCCCTCTTTTCCCACCGTACCTGTCATGAAATCTTGGAGCAAGTTAAACGGTGGATTGAAAAATACTAACTGCTCGATTTTACGAGAAAACTTTCAAAAAGCACACTGGGGGGACCCTCGTTAAATGTAAGTCAAAAAATGACTCTCCGGAGTTAGGAGCAGGTAAAGAGAGAGAGGGTAGCAGACGGGGCTGCGTCCAGGGCTGCAGTCGGCACCCCGCTCTGCCTTTGCAGGTGGCTGGTTGGGAGGACCCCACTGTGCTCGCCAACTTAGTTCTGCCTGGGAGCCGCTTCCTCTTCAGGGCTGCTGTGTGGCCTGTCAGCGGTCTGCAGGGCGCCCCCCCTTGGGGAGCCAGTGTGTGGCAGGGGCCCGTGATAGGGAGGAGTGCGAAGGCAGAGGGGAGGCGGGCCGGAGTCCCCAGCAGCTGTCACACTGGACCCCCAGGCACAAGAGCAGGGAGCGACCGCCTTGGCCTGGTGGCTTCTCTGAACCCCGACCTCAGCTCATTTCCCTCAGGGCACGGCTGAGCAGCCGATACCCTGGGGAGCGGGCTCGGGCATCAAATATTTGGAAATGCTCTGGCATGAAATGTGCAGCAAAGACCTTGAGCTTGCAGAGGAGCGCGCGTGCCTTGGGGGCCCCTGGGGCCGGGGCTTCGGTGGTTGCTTCACTGGTTGCTTCACTGTGCTTGGTCCGTTTTTGTATACTGAACTTGAAAAACTCCTGCGCTCACAGTGTGCCTTTCCCTCCTTCCTCGTCGGTGGCCTCAGGCTTTGGATGAATTCAAAATTAAAAGCACAAACGTGTGTCTTTATCATCCAGGTATAAACAAAGGTTACCCCAGCCTTAGTTCTTAGAAAATGAAAACTTCTGTTGGGGAAAGAAGACGAAACTGTTTTAACTCCTTTAGTTTTGCACACATCGGGATACCTGAGGCTTGTGTAGAATATTTCCTCATAGTTCAATAGATTATTATAATTAGGTTTATTCACATATATTATTCGTATTAATTAAATTGTTTTTCTTCCATCATCCTAGTCCCCATAGTTCTCCTACTCATACAAATCTTGAAAACATTTCATGTACTTCAGTTACCAAAATTACCTTTGTCTGTCGACCAGCTAAGTAATGCTGTGTGTTTAATTCTGTCTGGTAACTGATCTGATCACGCCAGAGGACACACTTGATTATGTCCACAGTGTATTGGAGCCTCAGGCTCAGCCAGTTTATGCGTCTCTGTGTCGCCAGGTGAAAATGGTCCGTTATAGCCCACACAGTGCCGTGGCTGTGTGTCAGACTCCGAGTTTCCAGATTTTGAGACCCAAACACCCAGCAGTCTGTGTCACGGACACCTGGGGTGTTACGTCCTCTGAGGTTTGAGCCCATTTAATAAATTCTTTCGCCAGTGAGGTTTCTCGTTACACAAGATTAGCTTGTACAGCCACAGAGACACTGAGCCACGTGGAAGAACTGTGTGGAGCTGCTTGGTTGTTCGGCCCTGTCTCCCCTGCAGTCCGCCTACGTGACGGGCAACCCTGTGGTCATTGACGGAGGCTGGAGCTTGTGAGGCCAGGGGAGCTGTGAGGCCCGGCGGCCCCTCCCGTGGACCCGGTGGTGAAGAGAACCCCCCAGCACATCACTCCTGTTAGTGGTCTTGTCCTCGAGTCTGATGCCTTCACACCACATCTGTCTAATCGCTTCTGAAATCACTGTGGCAGAGGACGTAACAGATGATCAACCCACTCTAATCACTAATTTTAAAAATAAGCCTTAGTGTGTAAAGATATAACATTAAAATGTGAACATGAAAAAGGGAACCTTTTCAGAAGAAGTTGTTTCTATTTCTATTTCCCATGTTCAATTACTGTCATACAATTCTGTCATCGATTGCCCTGTGTGTGGATCTCAGTTTTAAATTGACGCATTATCAGTGAACACCGGTGGTAGGAAGGAGTTCGGCCCCTGTGATTTACCTCACAAGGAGTTTAAATCTCCAGCTACACTGCTGAGGATATTTTGAGTAGCTTCCCTGCGGGCACTTGGGGATAAATGAGATTGCTCAGGTGCTGGCGCATCTCCGTGGACATGTAGGCTGGTGTGTGACAGCCACCCCGGTCATCCTGCATTTTCACCCTGGGAGCTGGGCTCACACACTGGTTTTCTTGTGCTGCTCAATCATCGTGCACCAGGGAGGGGTGGGCGTGGAGTCACCCCCGGGAGCCCTAAGACTGGGCACGAACCGAGAAGCGAAGGGCAGACGGCACGGCAGTAAAGGCCCGGGAAATCTAGCCCAAAGGCCTGCCTTCCCCAGGCGGTTACCCCCACGGGCTGATGTCCAGGGAAGGCCACAGGACTGAAAGGCAGGGCAAGCACCTGGGATACAGGGAAGCTGGCCTCCTGAACTTGGGGCTTAGGACAGGCCCAGACTTGGGAAGTGGGCCTTTCAGAAGCGGGGAGACCGGGGAGCGCTGTGGGAGAGCATCTTTCTTTCTTTTCAGGACGGAAGGTGGCTTCTGGGGGGTTGGGGAGGGCGTGTTAGGTGGCTCTGAGGAACTTTTGGTGGACAGTCACCCGAAAGGGGCGCCCATCTTAGTTGGAGCAGGAAGTACCAGGCAAAGAGGACCCGGAATGTGACTTGGGAAAGAAAGCAGAGGCCAAAGAAAGGCTCAGGGGCGGGCAAGGGCCCGCGTCTGTCTGTGGGAGTCTCAGGCAGATGCCCAGCGGGTGGCCGCGGCTGGCCCAGCCCACTTCTGGGCGTGGAGGGGTCCTGCCGGGCTAGTGCTGGGGTTGACGGGCAGGCGGGGCGGCTTGCCCTCTCCCCCACCCCCTGTCTGGGCTTGTCCAGAGAGGGAAGTGGGGCGCGCGGGCCGGGATCTCGGGGGGCGGGGCGGGGCGACGCGGAGAAGACGAGTCCCCAGCCCCACGCACCCGGCGCAGGCGGGCGGGGCTTGCAGGTCCCCCCAGGCACCCGGCTTTTGGCTCGCCTCGGTTGGCGGCGGCTGCGCTGCGCACACTGGTGAGTCCGGGGAGGGCGCCCCAGGGTTGCTGTGGGGGAGGCCAGCCCCGCCCGGCCGCACGCGGACCGGCCCTGCTCACTGCGGAGGTTTCTCGCCTGGGGCGGCGCCCCCCTTTCGTGAGCTTGGGCACAGTCCCCGCGGCAGAGTGGACCTGGCTGGTCACTGGGCAGCGCTGGTGGCCGGCAGAGGGGCCTCAGGACTCCCGCCTGCGAGGGTCTTCGGAGTCACGGAGCTGCCCGAGGGGCGGGCGCTGGGGGGGGACCGGGAGCCACACTGCGCGGCTACCTCTGGCAGCAGCCTCCTTCCCGCCCGCCACTGCTCTGGCCCGTCCCCTGGAAGGCGGTTCTTGAATGTCACAGGACCCGCAGGGACCAAGCTGGGCTTAGCCCCAGCAGCACCCAGCACCGTGGCTCCCAGGGGCCCCTTACAGCTGGTGCTCCTCAAAGCTGGCCAGGCGGGCTGCTGGCCGGAGAAGGAGTTCCCCTGTGCCCCTCCTGGACAGTTCCAGGAGGGAAGGTGACCACGGCAGGCCTGGTGAGCCGTGCAGAAGCAGAGGAAGGCAGATTCCACAGAGGAAGCTGTGTGCGGCCACCTAAGGGGGAGGGGGTGGCCGGGAAGCTGGACGGCAGAGTCCCCACCCGTGGAGAAGATACTGTACCCCCTCCCGCCCCCCAGCTCCCCGCACTGGCCGCCCTGTCCGGCTGCAGATGTTATGACATCATAACATCTTCCTTCTTCGGGCTTGGGGGCAGGGGAGTCCTTGAAATTATTTTCGAAGAGGTAATGGGCTGGAGTGAGGGCTGAGCCCCTCCCTGCATGAGGAGTGTGGGTGTCGCCACCTCCCGCCCTGCAGGGCCACTTCCTGTGCTCTCTGATGGTTTCCCCAGCTACCTTCCCTGGGGCTAGAGTCGCAGTTTCAGGACCCTGTGGCCAAGCTCGGAATGCGTGAACCTGGTTACACACTCATGCCTTTTCTAAAGGTGAGTGGGTTTCTGAAGTGGCAAAGTGGTTTAAGAAGAGACAGAATAGAGAGCTGACCGGTGGTCAGTTGTTATACTGGACTTACTGAAATCCTCTCTGCAGTGCCCCGCTACTCTCAAACTGACCATCCCTGCTAGAGATTGTAGAAGAAAGGGAATTATTTGTAGCTATTTAAATTCCCATAATAGAGCATACTGTGCAAATTGCTTGGATTGGGTTGTTATTATGTTTACTTTTTACTTTTTTATTTTATCAGTTACATTGAATCACAACAGTGTTGGCTGTGTTTAACAAAGACCAGAAGAACATTAATAATTCTCAAAGACGTCATTTTAGCCAACAGTTTTTATCTATTAGAAATAAATGTTTATTTACTGGCTATTTAGAAATAGCCTATAAAGGTGGTGGAGTTGCCCCACTCTGAGAATTTGGTAAGGGATGTCATTGCCCAAATGGGACTGGAAAGAGTTCCCTGGAATTCTGCTGCGGAAGTGTGAAGAAGCCGAAGCAGTGAAGAAGCCGAAGCAGCGAAGCAGTGGGTTAAGTGCTAGACACCTCCCGTCAGGCATTGCCCTGCTGCGTAGCTTTGTAGCTATTCAATCATGAGGTTTTGGACTTTCATTTGGAAAAAAGAACCAGGTTGGAACTGGTCGTTATCATCTCTGTAAAAATTAGGGAATCATAGATTCAGTCCCTTTGCTGAACACACTCCTGTCAATACTGGAAACTCACCTGGAGTGGCCCCACTTCAGCAGGCTGGTGGCCCCTGAGAAGGGGCTATTTTACAGCAGTTGCTTGGAACATTTGAGGTCTAACTTAGCAAACATGGCAGGAACAAGTAAAACGTGTGATGGTCATTAAGCGTTCTTTCAAGCGAGGTAAAAAAAGATGTAAGAGGATAACATAATGAAAGAAAAGATTAGTAGTAGCATAGCCTCGCTTAAATGTTTTATCCATTCAGAGTTCCAAAGATAAAAATAAATACCATCTATCCGTTCACTTCCAAAGATTCTCAAGTGGCTATTCTGTATCTACACTATTTCTCCTTCAGTACAGATCTTGTTCCCCTTGCCTCTGTCATCTTGTTCTTAATCAAAAATCATGGGAGATGAAAAGGAAGCCATTGAGCGTGGAGATCTGGAACCATCCCCCGGGATGGATCACACAGCCTCACTGTGTCAAGAAGCACAGGTAAGTCTGTAACCAAATGTCGAACAGACTCGCCATGTCCTTAAAGAAGGGACTACATATTTGCATGTTATGAACCTCCAAGGGAAATGAACTAACAGAAGGAAGTAACCTCCACATGACAGATCTGTGTTCCCTCGCTCGCTCTCTCTGTTAATGACTCTCTGGGTTCTTTAACCTCAAACCCTCACTACCCGAGGCCGGGATGACCACTAGTTTCCCCAGAGTCATTAGCAGCTGGCCCTCCATCCAGCTAGGAGACCGGAGCCCTTGAAAGGCTTTGCGTTGCTGGTCTACCCCTCAGACTGCCTGGTTTCCTCCACCCCTTTTTGTAGCTTACTTATATTCCATAGAGGAATGTGTGTAGCTTAGTTTTCACCACAGATGGTTACCATTTTGTGAACACTTTGGTGTGCCTTAAATCTTGCCTTTAATGAGTTAATTTTTAAACCCAGTATTGCAAAATGACTCCAGCATTTACAGTACTACAAATAGTGATTCAGCGGTAAACATTCCTACATAACTCTTGTTCCAAACATTAGCTGATTAGCTAGTAAAAAAGTGTTTGCCCTGTACAATGTTAGCCTTGAGTCCAGTGATGGGAATCTGATTTGTGATATGATGGTTTGGTGAATATAAACATGTACAGAAATAGTCTGAAGTGTTTTTTAAATTGCGTTAATCTAGGAGGAGACAATTATGAACCTCAGAAGTATAGATGGAAATGAGCTAACAGAAGCAAGTAATCTACTGAACCTCAACAAAAAAAAACAACAAGATACACCAACTGAATCAAGTCACTTGCAAAGACTAAAGCAAACATTTGCCTGCCCTCCACATGGTATCCTGGATCAGGTAATAACAGATGGTAAGTAAATGATAAAACACTCAGGAAAAAAGGGGTAAAAGATGCATTGTTGTAATAAGAAATCACAAAGTAATGTGGTTTAAAGGACAAACAGAAGTCTGATTCTCTCTCACATAAAAGCCTCGAAGTGGGCAGTTCGCAAAAGGTGGGGTATGGGGCTCTGCTCCACATAGTCGCTCAGGGACCAGGCAGACAGGGCCCTATCACCCTCAGAGGGGTGAAAAATAGAAGGGGTCTCTGAAAGCAAATGTGAAGACATTTGGGTTGAAGAAATATATCACTGGGATACATGCTTGGACCCCACCCCCCCACCCCCAGATGTTGAACTACAGATCATATTTGGTCTAAAAGTTCTACTTACTAAAGCACCAGGCTCTGAAGCCAAGCGTGATATGCTCTATTTTATGAAATTGGGTTCTTTTTTTAACTTGCATGAGTAAAAATATCTCACACTTTGTTTAAAACATGTAGAGAAAACTCCAAAATATATACCTAGGAGTTGCTAAGAGCACAGGTAATTGAATACCACTTCTGCCCCTTGTATTTTTTTTTTTTAACTTTCAACATTTAAATGGCAGCGTGCTTGTAGTGAAACATTCACCATAGAATGGATCTGGATGGAGATAAAGAGAGGCTTTGAGATAATGATGTGGCTTTGAAACTCACTTTTAAAACCCTGTTGCCCTTACCTGCAAAGCTGCCTGGCTAGCAGGACTCAGGGCCCCCCAGTGGCTCCATCCTGCCCCCGGCCCTGGTCCTGGGCTCTCCAGACCGCTTTGTTCTGTGCATTCTCCACCTTAATGGTCAACCCATTAAGCTGCCTTCTAAGAATGACAATAGCGAATTCCAGACAAAGTAAGCGCTTACAATGGATAGATAGTGGTGAGAAGAGAGCCTGGCCACTGCAGCCATCTGTGCACAGGGCAGCTTGCGTGCTGGCACCTCGGGACCACGATCTGGGGAAGGTGGAAATCACCTTTTTGTACCTGCTTTTTCCTGGCACGTTAATATTTTATATCGTGAATGCAAATATGGAAAACAAACCAAAAAACAAGACCACTGTATACTCTTACACTTGAGGATGAGCCTTACTAACGACACCTTGAAAGAGCCGGCATCCCTGAAGCAGGCCCCCTGCAGGCCCGGGTTGCTGGCTAGAGGCTTTAAAACTTCAACTTTCCACTCACACTTTCCTCAGTGTGAATCATCTAAATGCAACAGCTGAAACTGTCTGATGGGGCAACATGTGGACACAGCTGACCGTCCACTCCGGAAGCTACCGACACTTGCCCTTGGTCAAAAAAACGGGCGTGACTCATGGAGAGGGCTGATCTGCATGGAGTTTTGATGGGCTGCAGTCTATTTAAAGCAAAGACCTCAAGAGTCCGGGTCTTGTAATAAGAAGCTGAATTCCATACACCCGCCAGGAGGAGGCTTAAATGTCACCAAGACTAATGGAGGCTACTGACTTCCCTAGTGATTTGCTCACCAGCACTGAGTTCTGTGTGGTTGGCCCTGACTCTGTGTTCGCTTGTACCTTTCTATAACCATCTTCAATTGTGGAAAACGGGGTTTTCAAACAGGGAAGCATTTCACATCTAACAAAAATGCCTCAACGAAAGGAAAAACAAGATCGTTTCCCAGACAACAGATTGGAGGCGCGATAATGATGATTTACAAAATAGATTAAAAGTAAAATCAATTACTAATTTCATGCCACAGAAACAAATGCGTAATTCTAAAGAAGCACTGACTGTAGAGATGCCGATAATGTTTGATCCAAGCAGAATACTGGAGTGTGAGGCTGGCAGTTAATCTCAAGTTTCTGTGGAGAGGGTAAAGGGAGCAATTACTTCTCTTCTTCATAGTAACTAATGATATGTTTATGGTAAAATTAGAAGGGAAAGCTCCTTCCAGCTGGAGTTGGGAAAATCTCCTACCTAGGTGGATTGAAAGTCCCTAGTCTTGCAATAGTTGATTTTTGATGTTACTGATGCTCTTTAAAATCTACACTTAGTTGTGAACATTTATCCTTTATTCAGTATTTGTTTATAAAAGTTCAGGCTGTGTCAAAGCCTGCAAAGGCAGTGTCCTGAGGGGAACCTGTTTTCCTGGTTTGTTGTAGGCACCTTGGTGGTCCTCCTGTGGGCTGTGGTCTGGGCGCTCTCAGGCAGCGAGTGTCTTCCTGGGGGAAATCTGTTTGGGATTCTCACCCTCTTCTATTGTGCCGTCCTGGGAGGTAAACTGCTGGGACTCCTTAAGCTCCCTACATTGCCACCACTGCCCCCTCTTCTCGGTAAGTACTGAGCATGCCCTGCCTCCTTCGGAGTAAATCATAGTTTGAAAGTAGTTGCATAAAACTATTTGCAATAGCTAAGATATGGAAACAACCTAAATGCCCCCAATGTGATGAGTAGATCAAGAGGTGGTCTAGATACACCATGGAGTATTACTTGGTAAACTCATGACATTTGCAGCAACTGGATGGAGCAAAAGTGATTATGCTCAGAAAAATAGAAGAAAAAAGAAAAATATTGTATGGTCTCATAAAGACAAACCAAACAAAGGGTCAGGAAAAAAGATAAAGTTGCAAACAAACCATAGATCTGAAGCACACTGCAAGGGAGAGGGAGAGAGAAGACTCAAGCCACCGGAGGGAATGGCACAAGGGACCTTGGTGATGATGCATGGGTGCTCTGGTGGTGGGAGATTTATGGGGACTGCACCTCAGGGAAGAGATCAAATACTATACAAAAGTGAACAATAGTGTAAGACAATTTTAAAATAATAATTAAAAGTAAAGTTTATTTCCCAAAGCTTTTCCCAAGATGGGAATTTTTTTTAAAGAATTATTTTATTTATTTAGGCATACAGAACTGGCCAGAGGTGCAGGGGCGGTGAAAGGATTCACCAGAAACAGTGGGAAGCAGAACAGGCAGATCAAAGAAGTCCACTGCTAAGGGGCTCAGCAGGCGGGCCAGGGGAGGTCTGCCGCGCCATGTGGTCACCTCCGGGGCAGGCAGGGATCGAACTCATGCAGAAGTGGCTTTAGCTTCTCAGTGCTGTGCTTTAACCCGCTGCGCCACCAGGGAGGGCCCGGGATTTTTGTTAATTAATAATTTGCTTCAAAGTAACTTGGGAGTAGTTGAAATGAGATTGGCTTTATGTTGATAATTTTTGCATATTTAAAACGTTCCCTTCATAAAGTAAATTGAGGGGGGAAACAAATGTACACTTTATGAGAGGTCTTTTTTGACAACAAGCATGGGAGAGGCCCTAGTGACCCTAACAGGCAAGGAGGGAAACTGTTGATGACTTTTTCCAGGATGCCATGTCCCCCCCATCCCAGAGATATGCATGAGAGGTTCACTGGGGCCTCAGTGCGGTGTGATGGGAATTTGTCCTGTCCAAGATGGGGCCCCCTGAGCTGCCGGCACAGCCTCCAGCCACCCCCAACTTGGAAAATGTACTAATGAATCCAAGTCATTGTTTAATATTAGGAATTTTAGAAATTTGGTGTTATATTTGTATAAGCACTCGATTCTAGTTTATTATCATTTACCCACTAGTCAAATTGCATTATCACTTGAAGTTTCCCAGAGGCTACTAATGGTGTTAAGTGAGGACTTACTATATTTTCAAACTTAACAGAAATTACTTAAATGGCCATTAGTTGTTTGTTTGTTTTTTTTTCAAAGATTTATTTGTGCATACAGAACTGGGGTACAGGCAAGAGATGCAGGGGCAGTGAGAGGATTCACCAGAGACAGGCTGATGGACGGAGCATACTGCTGAGGGGAGCAGCGGGTGGGTCAGGAGAGGTCTTCTGTGCCCTGTGGGTCACCTCTGGGGCAGGTGGGGATCAAACTCGTGCTGAAGTGGCTGCGGTCAGCTGAAGTGGCTCTGGCCAGCTTCGTAGTGTTGCACTACAACCCATTGTGCCATCAGGGAGGGCCCTAGTCCCCCTTTTTTATTAAAGCTTTTTTATTTTCTTAAATTATTGCTCATTTTATATAATACTTTACAGTTTGTAAAAACTGCCTGATCCAAACACTGTAAGATTTATTGTCATGATTTTTTTCCCAGGCAACTTGCTAAAAATCTGACTGTATGTTATCTGCATAGTAGTGTTGGATGTCACATACACAGTATTTTAAGCTATGAATAACAGCACACTTTTTCCTTCTGTTACCAAAAGGGGGGAGGGGCACCTGAAAAGCCACAGTCCAGTGGCCACACCGCCAGGGCGTCAGAAAGACCCAGCGTCCCAGGAAATCATTTTGAAGTTTTCTTACAGGAGCAAAAACTGCCCCTTGTCCCCCACCCCCCAAAAAAAAACTCCAAAAGAAAAGTCAGTGTGGTCTTAAAGTGCCTGTCAGATGGTTCATTTTGATTTCAGATCATTATATGCTCTAGTTTCAGGGGAAAAAAGAAACGATTAGCACATTTTTAGTTTCAGAAAAATGAGGTGTGAGGCTAGTTCAGCCTTTGGCTGCTGATTCATCGAAGTCCGTGAGGTTGATGTTTGCCTGGACCCGGCCTACATAGGGTGACCCTGTGTAGCCGGGCAAACCCACAGGTGTGTCAGCTCCGTCAGGGCGGGCCATGTTGGTCTAGCTCAGCTCTGCACGGCCAGGGCACGCCAGGGCAGGCGATGGTAGGCACTTAGTAAGCCTGGGTGTGTCAAGAGCGCGCATTTATAATGAAAAATCTCAGGCATTCCTTTAAGTGCATTCATTGGCTCCCCAATTATGGTACTTGCAAATGATGACACAACTAGTAAGTCCTCACTTAATACTGACAGCAACTATTTTTTTAAAACACATTGAGGTGCAACGGGTTAGCTGCTTCAGTGCGAGTTCTCCCCAGAGGTGACCACATGGCGCGGCAGACCTCTCCTGACCGCCCGCTGCCCCCCTCAGCAGGGTACTTCGTCGATCTGCCTGTTCTGCTCCCCGCTCTGTCTCTGGTGAGGCCTCTCACCACCCCTGCGCCTCTGGCCTATACCCCAGTTCTGTATGCATAAATAAATAAATCTTAAACAAATAATAAAAAATAAAGACGCATTGATATTTTAGGCAACCTGACATAGCAGAAACTTCAGGAGCCGTTTACCTGTCTGCCCACCAGGGCTCAGAGGCTCCTCTCAGGCACCTGTGCTGAGCATCTGACCAGGCTGTCCCCACGCACTGATTATTCTGTCTGTTTTTATCTGCATGAAAAGCCTTGTCTTAACTCCTCCAATTCATGCTGCTCCCTTAGTATTTTATTTTTTTAAAGATTTACTTATTTATGCACATGGAAATGGGGTACAGACTAGAGGTATGGTGGGTGAGAGGATTCACCAGAGACAGAGTGGGGGGCAGATTGACTGAAATCCACTGCTGAGGGGAGCAGCGGGCAGGTCAGGAGTGGTCTGCTGAGCCCTGGGGTCACTCCCTGGCCAGGATTCAAACTCATGCTGCAGTGGCTGCAGGCAGCTCCACAGTGCTGCCTTTAACCTGTTACGCCACCAGGGAGGGCCCACCTTAGTATTTTTCTTTGAGGGTTTATCACCATTTCACCTGGTGACTGAGCCTCCCTGGTGAAATGAGCCTCCGTGAAGAGCCACGCTAGACAACCTCCCGGGGTGTGTGCTTGGGTTATGGCACCCACCACTGTCCAGGGCTGGGTGCGACCCGATGTGAGAACCAGGGAGTCCTCCTCTCTGCCGCAGGCATGCTGCTGGCCGGGTTTCTCCTCAGGAACACCCCGGTCCTCAGTGACTACGTGCAGATCCAGCCGCGCTGGTCTTCCTCCCTCAGAAGCGTCGCCCTGGCCGTGATACTGGTCCGTGCGGGCCTGGGCCTCGATTCCAAGGTACAAAGCGTCTTTCTAATTACGCAGTGGGAATTTCGTTCCTCTGAACTTCAGGAAGTGGCTGTGGAGTTCCCATAGGGGTGTCCACTGGCCTCATGCAGCTCAGGTCTTCACCCTGCAGAGAGGGTGCTCCATGTTCTTTGTGGGAGAGGGTGGGGTCCCTACCAGGGCCCCTCCTCCCTGTTGGGGCTCCCTTGTCCCCACCAGGGATCCCTCGTTCCTGACAGAGACAGGACAAGATGTTGTGTTGTGGGAGTGGCCCCCGCCGACCCGGTGGACATTCAGGAAGGTACAGCTCAGAGCTGCCTGGCAGTACTCTGGGTCCCCGAGCTGCTCCTCTCATGAATGCTTTTTGATTTGGCGATAAATGTGGGGGTGAAGGCCTTCACTCTAGGTTGCTTCACCCTGGGGCCACACTGCGAGGCTCCCCAGGGGGTGTGGGGCCTCCGAGCACAGGCAGAAGCTGCCCGTCCGACCGGGCTCCACGGCTCACCCGGCTCAGGAGCTTGGGGAGATGACGCTGCGGCGCCTTTTGACCGACGGGGTTGTCTGGAGAAGTGGGGAGCGTCCCATCTCTCCGAGGGCGGGTCGGGCTGAGTCGCTGGGCCCCGAGACCCGCGCAGGTCCTGAGGCTCCGTGTTGCACAGCACATGTGGAGCTCGCGTGAGGACTGCGCTCCGCTTAAGAACAAAGTGTCGCCGAACACTCACGGTGACCCAGGCTCGGTTCCGGAGGACTGGCATCCGGGCGCTGACCCCGCGGCCTCAAAGTGACCGGGCGTGTCTGCTTTTCCGTCCCAGGCCCTGAGGCGGCTGAAGGGTGTCTGTGTGAGGCTGTCCGCGGGCCCTTGCCTGGCGGAGGCCTGCACGTCCGCGCTCCTGGCCCGCGTCCTGCTGGGCCTGCCCTGGCGGTGGGCCTTCCTGCTGGGGTAAGTCCCTCCCCGCCCCCACACGTCTGGAGGACGCTGAGCACTGCCGGGGACTGCTCACCCCGGCCCACAGGACGTGGACAACGCCCACCCCTCAGCCGAGGTGGCGGACGCTGCCACCCCGTGCAGAAACGCCAGCCTCACTGTGCGGCTCACATCCTGAGGCCCCGCTTGTCAGTGGCTGTGACTGCCCATGGAGCAGGCAGGGCCTTTGCCCATGCCAGGGCCCAGCCTGCCGGAGGCCGTGGATGGGGCCATCCCGTCACCCCCAGCCTCTGCTGCCCCCGGTGCTTGTGAGCACCGGCCGTCGCTCGTGGGTTCTTACCTTGGTGACGAAAGTCATTAGAATAGGTAACAGGATTTAGTATCAATAAGAATTAATTTAGTGCTAAGAAGAGGCTCCTTTGGTCTGGTCAGTGGCAGCAGCTACTCCCGTGGCCTGGTCCTGTCACTCCCGGTGGGACCTGCACCCTCTGAGCCCCCTCTCCCCACTCCCGGCAGGGTACAGGCAGAGGATGTCGCTGCCCTCGGGGGCCGGGGGGCACCCCCACTCGGTGCTCCAGGTGGTGTCTGGCCTGGTAGGCCCCATGCTGCTGTCGCTGCTGCCCCGTGTCCCTGCTGACCTGTGGCTCCTCTGTGTAGCGTCTTCTGGTTTACATGCCAGTTGCCCTGGGGGGGAGGGGGCAGCACACTGGCTTCTGTCCACCAAGCCCATGAGCGCTGGAAAACGACCAGGAATCTTTCAGTTTGCCACAGGAGGGTTTGGCTTGTTAACGGCAGCTTCCGGGGGCCTCGGCCGCAGGGTCCTCTCGCCCCTACGTTGTCCAGAGCAGCGCTCGGCCAGCCACGTGTCGCACAGAGGTTCTGTAGACGGTGCACTGCCCCTGGGCTTCTGGTTTGGCACCCGGCTGCCGCTGCCAGACGGTGTTGTCCGGAGTGGAGCCCTCTCCCGGGCGAGCGGCTCTGCGGGTTCCAGGCAGACCGCGAGCACCAGAGCTGCACGCCCAACGCCCCGGCTGCCCAGTTTCGTCCTAGGGGCCGTCTCTCCAGCCGTGGTGGTGCCGTCCATGCTCCTTCTGCAGGCAGGCGGCTTCGGCGTAGAGAAAGGGGTGCCCACCTTGCTCATGGCTGCCGGCAGCTTCGATGACATCCTGGCCATCACTGGCTTCAACACCTGCCTGGGCATGGCCTTCTCCACAGGTATGCCCCAGGTCACCGGGCGCCTTGCTATTGTGAAGCATCCTTCACCTGGTGTGTTGTGTTATGTGTAGTAAGGCAAATCAAGCTAGAGCCAGCCAGCCCCAGGAGCTTCAGGAGGCACAGGCTTCCCGCTTCCCGCTGGGCAGCCCCTCAGCTGTGAGGCAGGTGCGCTGAGCGGGCGCAAAGTGATCAAGCTTGTAGGACACCGACAGCCTTGGGGGAAGATTAACTGGAAACACCTCGCTGGGTTTTCTTGAACTCGAGGAAGCTGCCTTAGAGAGGGGCGACCCAAGGGAGATACTTTGGGCTGTCAGCGCGCCAAGGCTGGGGGAGGCCGCTGCGTGGGGAGCTGAGGCTAGAGAAGGGCGGGTTCGCACCACGTCTGTCTGCAGCCTGCTGGGGCATCTCGGGCTCAGGGGTCCAGAGTCACCCTGTCACTGCTGGCCTCCCTGCGGACACAGGAGGGGACCCCTGGCACGAGGGTCCAGCTGTCAGGCCTGTGGGCGGGGGCAGCTTCCTGGGGCCTTCGTCCCTGCGCCCGCTCAGGAGCGTGCTCTGCCCTCAGTGACTGTGACGGAAACCTCAGTAGTGAGATTTTTCTTGGAATAGGGCAGGAGAAAGCATGATGCGTTGAGCAATTTTAATGCAATTTTCTGCATCGCATGAGAACAATTTTTTTTTTAATTAAAGTTTCCTAGTCCTAGGCTGTGGGGGGAAATACAGGTTGTGCTTCTTTCTATAGTATGGTGTTTCAGAGACCCTGAGGAGCAAGTAGTGACTCTCCTCGCAGCAGCTTTGAAAATAATTTCTTTTCGGATTTATCTTGAAACAAACTACACTCATTGTAATAAGAAAGATTTTTGATTTTGGTTGCCAAATTCTTCAGTCCTGTGCCCTATCCTGAAGAGAGCCACCAAGACAACACACGTTGATCATGAAAGAACTCAGACAGAAAGGGCGGTGTGAAGGCTAGCCCTGTGCCCTCACCCGCCCGGGCTCACGAGACACGTGCGCCCTGCGTGGCGCCTTCGATCTTCGACATTTCCCTCGACCCTTTAATTTTTATGAAGTAAACATGCAGAAGAATGCACCAGTGCAGCTTCTGCCTGCGCTGAGCTTTATCTCCAATAGTATGCACTCCTTTCTTGTAGGCCCTTTTTTTTAGATTAAAACTATTTATTTTTAAATTGTATTTTTTATTTTTTTACATCTTTCTTCATTTTGTGTATTTTTCCATCTCAGTGGCAGTCCCCATGGGCCTCCCACCGCCAGTTCCCCCGTGTGCCATCACCGCAGCCCAGCGCACTGTTCCCACCCCAGTTCCGATCCCACTCCCCCTTGCACGCCCACAAAGTGTCTCTGGTTTATAATTGTTCAGTTTTCATTTTTACTCTGTTACATTTGTCTCTCTCTTTCTTTTTCCCCCGATCCCTTACGCTCTTGCTATGAGTGAAACCATCTGGTATTTTTCTTTTTCTTTCTGGCTGATTTCACTAAGCACGACCCCTTCTTGTAAGCCCAGTGTATTGGACATATGAAGCCCCGTGTATTTAGGAACACGGTGAGCAGGAAATGCACATAAGCGCCTCCGTGTGTGTCAGGAGCTGCTTTATGTGATGGCTAGAGAAAGCCTGTCCCTGTGGATTTGCAATTCTGTCTGGAGTTTTCCTTTTGTGTGTTTTCAAGGCTCCACGGCGTTTAACGTGCTCAGAGGAGTGTTGGAGGTGGTGATTGGCGTGGCGGCTGGGACTCTTCTTGGCTTTTTCATTCAGTACTTTCCCAGCAGTGATCAGGTAGAAGAAATAATCTGGGGGGAAGTCGTGCTTATCTGAACTGTCACTGGAAGGAGAGGGCCCTTGACCAGAGGGAAGAGCGTGGCTCAGAGTGCTCCCCCGTGTGTAGATCGGCTCCTTCCCTTGTGGGCCCTGGCCACGGAGGGATGAGGGGCTAAGTGTGTGCAGTTCAGAGCAGTCCTGGCCTTTCTCTGATCTCCCTCCTGTAAACCTCGAACATCACTTTAAGTAACGTCAACTCCAAAACGGTAAGATGTGCTGGCCTGACTTTTAAACTGTATTTTATGATTTGGGTTATCTTCATTTTATGGCTATTCATAGCACTCAATTAAGCCAAATCATAGAGTGACTTTCTGGGCCCTTCTTCACGGTGAGAACGTGTGGACTCCAAGCCCACGCTCCTGGCCGGGCCTGGTGTTCCCCAGGGGGCCTGTACCACGCTTACTTTCCTCTAACCCTGCGTGTGCAAACACTGGCCACCCAAACATGAGTGGGGTAAGATGTGGCCTGGGACACAGTGGGATACCTCTCAGCTAGGAAAAAGCCCTGCCAGCCCCCTCCGCGGTGGACGACAGACACTAAGTCAGGGCAAAGACTAGCACTGGTGTGTCTGCTACGTGGAACATGCAGCGAGAACTAAGGAACTGACAGAAGAAAATCAAAACACACCCTAGAAATCTGGCTGTGCAGGGAGGCTCTCGGGGGTGCAGGGGCGGGATGGAGAGGCCCAGTGGGCCGTGGTGGAGACTGGGGTGTCTGGTGGTGGCGGTGGTGTGGACCCCTAAGTCACATACGGTGTGGCAAACGTTCCCTCCGTTGAAAAACGTGAACAGTAACATTAAACAGGCCACAGGCAGACCCGGGGCCACAGGCTGACAGCGGCTTTCTATCCAAGGCGCAGTTGCGGTGGAAGCGGGCGTTCCTGGTGCTGGGGTTCTCGGTGGTCGCCGTGTTTAGCAGCGGCTTTCTCGGCGTCCCTGGGTCCGGGGGACTGTGCACCCTGGTCACGGCCTTCCTCGCCGGCGTGGGGTGGGCCAGCGGGAAGGTAAGTTTGCTTGAAGGTCTGCTCGTGACTACTTTCCCATCAGATCAACTTTTCCTTCCTTTGTGGTGCCAGCGGGTGAAGACCCCACAGTAACCGAAGCCAGTGAAGTGCCAGGGTGGAGGGCAGACCCTCCGGGCCAGCGGCATTCTCTCTTAGCGCGCTCTGTCCCCCTCTCCCTTCCTTGTCTCCCGTGGACGCTCCCCTCTCTCTTCCCTCTTCCCAATCTCAGAAACATCTCTTCATCGATTATTTTCTCCAAGCTTTTATAAGCATTTGCTTTGTCAGATCATCTGCTGTGGAAACAACCAATAATTGTCTTTGTCATCGAACTTGATTAACTACCTAGGACTCAGCTGCTTCCATGCTGCTGTCGGCGGTGTCATTTCATCTTTCCTGTGTCCCACTGTGTGTGTGGACCCCTCTGTCTGGTGTGGTGGGCCCCTTTGCCTGGTGCAGGCCTCTTTCGTCAGCGTTTAGACTGCTCGTGGCCTTGCTGGTGTAACAGCTACTGCAGTATCACAGAGATCAGATTTTTTGAGTTGATAATTTCATCTTCTTGGATAGACGTGCCAGAGGGGATTCTGGGTCACACTGTGTTTCCATTATGGTCTGCTTGTCGGCCTGCGTCTCTCCTTCACAAGTCACTTTCACGCCAGCTGCCCGAGTCCTACTGCCTGCCTGGCCCCGGCTCCTTACTGAGTTGTGCCTAGATTCTCCTCATTCTCACCTGCCCTCCTTTATGGTTTCTTTTACCACACAACATTCTGTTTCTGCTATGGTCCTTCTAGGGACCCAACTCTGCCGATCCCTAAGTACTTCTATAATGTAGGGTCTTCTCCGGGGAGAGCAATCACGCAGTATCTGGAATAGGGAAAGTTCATAATTCACCATTGGGGGATCCCTTAGCAAGGAACAGGCTTGTACAATGGAAGATCCTAGAGAATCATGGAATGGCAACTGTGGCCCCGGGGACTGAGGGAAAGCACCCCTTCCCCTCTCAGCGCCTCACCTCCTCCCACCCTCAAGGCCCGAGAATCCCGACCTTGTTGGAGCTTCATGCTGTGGGTGGTAGAGGAGCCCCGGTGCCCTTTCTGGACTTGCTGGGTATCTCCTTCCGCTCCCAAGACTTGCATGAAAGCCACCCTTGAGGGTGCATGAGAAAGTTGGCTATGAAACTGGCCAAGAGTGGGCTGGAGGGGTTTGGCCGCTGACCCAGGAACTGGGGCACAGGATGACCCTGGGCTGCAGGAGTCTGGTGCTGAAGCCACCAGCACAGGGGGACAGTGCCCAGGAGCTGGGGAGCGGGGACAAGAACCCCTTTCCTGGTGCTGTCTCTTCGGTGCCCTCTAGTGACAGGAGCTAGTGTGGTGGCCGCCCAGGAGGGGCGGAGGTTGTCTGCCAGAGCAGGGGTGAAGGGGCTTTGGAGCCAAGGGGCTGCTTGGTTATAGGCAGGACTTCACCATCCTGAATTTCATGTTTGCGCATGATCTGAGGTAAGCTTAAACAAAATTATTTAGAGACCAAATAAGCTTGGAAACAAAGGTCCAGCAACAAAGAAATAATTGAATAAATTATAGTACTTCCACCCTGTAGATTAAGATGCAAAAATAATGAGGTGCACATGTAGACTATACACTAATATCAAAAGCTCTTTAAGGAATATTACTGAGCAAAATTAACATAAATTTAAGCCATGAGACAGCACTGAGTGGGGGGTACAGCATATACACGCACATACCGCGTATTCAGGAGAACCCCCCAAGGTTACTGTATGAGCCTCTCTGTAATTAACAGTCCCCTTTCTCAGACAGCACTAGAGCGCCATATCCTCGCGTGATTTTCGGCCCTTCCCTAGCCAGCCTCTTATTTATAGGTGCCTCAGGCATGAAGCCTTTCCCAGATCAAATTGATTCCAATTTTTTTTTTTAAAAAGATTTATTTATTTGTTCATACAGAGCTGGGGTACAGGCCAGAGGCTCAGGGGCGGTGAGAGGCGTCACCAGAGACAGAGTGGGGAGCAGAACAGGCAGATCGAGGAATTACACTGCTGAGGGGAGCAGCGGGTGGGTCAGGAGAGGTCTGCCACGCCATGTGGTCACCTCCGGGGCAGGCGGGAATCGAACTCATGCAGAAGCGGCTTTAGATTCTCAGTGCTGTGCTTTAACCCGCTGCGCCACCAGGGAGGGCCCTGATTCCAATTTTTGATGACCAAATTCTTGCTGCTTGTATCTTCACATAATAAGGATGTGTGTGAATGTGTGTGTTTTCTTCCAGGCAGACGTTGAAAAAATTATTGCGGTCATCTGGGACATTTTTCAGCCCCTTCTCTTTGGATTGATAGGAGCAGAGGTCTCTGTAGCGTCTCTTAGACCAGAAACCGTAGGTAAGAATTGCAGAGTAGACCTTTTGCTAAAATCTTTATGTTCAGTAGAAATATCTTGGTGTGTTTACTTAGACGAGAAGTTTACGGGTTTTTACAGGTAGGTCACCCCCAACTTAGCCATCACCTTCACTGTGTCTCTCCAGCTGTCAGCCTGCCATGGCTGTCGCCACAATCCCGCATATCAAGTTGAACTTACCTTTGTCGGTAAACGACTCTCAGGGGCTGAAATAAGCCCTTGTCCATGTCAACTGAGGTTATGGGCACCCCGGAAATAGCTGGGACTCCCAGTGCCTATTCTGAAGGATCAGGACCCAGTCAGCTCCGTTCTGATTGGCTGGTTCACGCCCGCTGGCCGATGTGCTTTGAATATCAGCTTGGTCTTGTGCTCCATTAAGAATTCTCAGCCCTTCTGAGGAAAATCTTCATTTTCCACCCCCGTGGCTCTTTCCAATGTGTGTCCACTGCACGTGCAGTACACTGACCCTCAGCCATCTCTTTGCTGATGCTGATGTCCATTGAGGCCCGCTCCGTCCATTGTGTATTAGCATCAAGCTCGTGTCCCGCCACACACCGTTCATCATTTAATAAATGTCTGGTTGGGTAAATGCAGGAAGAAAGTGTGGTTCTTGCTATCAAGCATAAGAGAAATGACACTCAAATCTTCTTTGCAGAAGTTCAAGTATGTTTAGCTAAAGCAAGTAGTGGAATACATAAAATTGTCTTTTTACTATTTTTACCTTTTCATAGAATTTGAGTCAGTGTCTTTGCGATGCAGCTTCTCGCCTGGTATTTCATTCCATCTAAAAATTGCTTCTTACAGGCCTTTGTGTCGCCACCCTCAGCATTGCGGTGTCGATACGAATTTTGACCACGTTCCTGATGGTGTGTTTTGCTGGTTTTAACATAAAAGAAAAGATATTTATTTCTTTTGCATGGCTCCCGAAGGCCACGGTTCAGGTAATACTGGATAGCGTGTGTCCTGTGTGACTCCTATTTCTGAGACCTTGACATTTTGAATGAGGGCTTACTCAAATTTGGTAAAAATAAGTAACTGAAGCTTCATTTATGCAAAGAGGTTATACTAATATTAATGCTAAGATTTAACACTGATTTTTTTGATATGCTGATTCCTCAAATATGACAGCCCATGTTAATTTCTTTAACTCAACAAAGTACAGTGAAAAATCTAATCAGCCTCTACACTACCAGAGAACAACAGCAGGCTGGGAGGGTGAGTGTTTGCCAGTCGCCCTCTGAGCCTCCCACAGAGGTAGCTCCCAAGTGCAGAAGAGAAGCGAGGCCCACTTAAGGACTGGGAATTACCTCAGTATCTTGATGCTTTACTTACAATGGAGAATGACCTGTTGAAAAACAACTAGGGAGATTCTTTATTGCTTTCCTAGATTAGTTGAACTTTCGAAATAGCCACAGCGCCTGTCTCGTCGTGGTCACACGGCCCAGAATGCGTGTACCCCAGTGAGCAAGGCCGTCAGTGCGCTGCTGGAAATTATTGGCCTTGTGCTTGGCAGAATGCCTGTGATTCCTCATTAAATTAGAACTGTATGCATTATGATTTGTTGCAAATGTAGTATATGCCTGACTGTATTATATCTTTTTAGACTAATTACAGCAAGCAAGATTGAACTGCTACATCCCTAATTATGTTGCAATTATTTAAATATGTAGCTTCCTCTTTCATGACATGAAAATCACATGTTCTTGATTTAGGAAGCATTGAGAGATGTGTATGGGCCATAACAAATGCCAGGTTTTCTGTGGCTGTGCATTCGGGCATGGTTCTGGAGGGTTTTCCATCAGGCTTTCCAAGATGTCTGAGACACGCCGAGAGCACTGTGAGGTATGACAGTGCAGCTACCCGGGCGATTCTCCCCCTAGGTGTAATCCGCACCCCACAGTACTCCTGGCACCGTTAATAGGGAAATGACAAATAGTCAAATAACTTTGGTATGGAACATGGATTTCTAAATATTAAAAATTGGAAAGTAACACTTCCCTGCTGTCAAAAACAATGTTTAAATGAGGAGAAACTGCCTGGCATGTTTTGAACAATGTATGTTCTGTGAAGCAAGTCTTACGCAGTTTCTGTTTTTCCTTTTGCCACTGCACAGGAAACAAGACTTTCTTCGATATTTTTTCCATAATAGTTTTTGAAATTATTCTTTCCTTGATCTATAAGAAATATACTCCTAAGTCATAACTCAGCATACCTACATGACCCAAACCTACACACCTGTACACACACACACACACACCGGAGAGTAGAGACAGACATCGTACTGTGCACTTCTGGCAAGAATTTGTGAGATGATAAAGTAGAGAGGGCGCACGGTCGTCTGCAATGATGGGGAGCCATGGATCTTGGCTCGTTTCATGCCTCTTGCCAACTGTATTGGGTGGGCACCCCGCCTCGCAGGGTGACCACTGTGTCAGTGTGTGCTCTCCATTCTGGGTCCAGCCGTCGCCACTTAGCACCCTGAGGGAGAAGAAACGTATTAAGTGCAAGTATCCACAACAAGAATTTATCATTTTTCGCCTTGTCTCATTGGCCAGGACTTATATAAGTGGTGTCAACTAGGGGCAAAGAAGGCTGGAAAAGTATTAGGACAGCAGGGATCTGGCTACCCTAGCACTCCTCAAGGGAAGGAATTCCTTCCTTGCCCGAAGGGGGCATTCAGAGATGGCCACTGTCCCTGCTGCTGTGTCTCACACACCTTGCTATCTCCTCTCCAGTATGGGTGTCCTGCAGGCTGACGCGTGTTGTATGGAGTTAGGGAATAGCAAGACTGGCTCATGGGTTATGTTCCCGGGACACAGACAAGATCGCCTCCTGCCGCTAAAAGGAAATGAGAAGTTTTGTAAGGCTTTCTGTGGACAAATGTTAAATGAAACATTTCTCCAACTCCTGAGTGAAAGCGTTAACCAAGTATCTGGCAAGATTAACTTCACATTTCGAAGGTGCTTACTTCCAAGTGTTGAGGCAGTAGAGCAATCCATCCACTTAGGTTTTTTTTAATCTCAAATGTCATTATCTTCCAGTAAGCATCACAAATTTTCCCATCTTGTCCTTCCTTATTTCCAAATCCCTAAAGATAAAACAATGCGATGACAGGCATAGTTCATCTTGATTCAGAAGGTATTTAGGTCTTTAGTCGGTTAGTGTTGTGCTTAATTTGACTAATACCATGAGTCTGGGTTCTGAAGAACCTTTGCCTGATATCTTTGTCATCCATCTTCATGCAAATAGGTACACAGGAATCGTCCTTCTCCCCACTTCAGGGCAGGGAGAGTTTTCAGATCGTGGAGACCAATTGCAGCACAGTTGAAAACTAATAGAACATTTTTCATTGAGCAAAAGAACAACTGCCTTGGCAACTGCCTTTTCCCATGTGCTTATCGCGTTTCCAACATTTACTTTAAACGTCCACAGGCTGCGATTGGATCTGTGGCTCTGGACACAGCAAGGTCGCACGGAGAGCAGCAGCTGGAAGACTACGGGACGGATGTGCTGACAGTGGCCTTTCTGGCCATCCTCATCACGGCCCCAGTTGGAAGTGTGCTCATTGGCTTGCTGGGTCCCAGGCTTCTCCAGAAAGCCGAACCTCAAAGCAAAGATGAAGAAGTTTGAGACTCCGACACAAGTCCACAGGTGCAGGCACAGGCTATTAAGTATAACGCTGAAAAGCAGCGAGCAGAGGCTACTTTTGTCAAGATGGGTTACTGAAATAGGTGATGTTTGAGCCTAAAACATGAGAATCGAAAGTCTGCTATTTCTTTAAGTAGCATCTTTAGCCACTAGTCTGCCTTGGCTGGGGGGGAGGGTTAATGTCTACTGGGCTTTTATTTCAGACACTTTTTTTTTTTTTTTTAAGATTTATTTATTTGTGCATACAGAACTGGGGTACAGGCCAGAGGCTCAGGGGCGGTGAGAGGCTTCACCGGAGACAGAGTGGGGAGCAGAACAGTCAGATCGACGAAGTCCACTGCTGAGGGGAGCAGCGGGCGGGTCAGGAGAGGTCTGCCACGCCATGTGGTCACCTCCGGGGCAGGCGGGAATCGAACTCATGCGGAAGCGGCTTTTAGATTCTCAGTGCTGTGCTTTAACCCGCTGCGCCACCAGGGAGGGCCTATTTCAGACACTTCTGTCTCTTCATGCGTAGAGACAGACACACTTGAACATACTACTGCAATTTAAAACGAAGACAGGAAAACCAAGTTCACGCTCCTGAGTGCTGGCAGCCTGCTCCGGTGACCGCAGTGTCCCTGGGCCAAGGCTTCCGGCCTCACAAGCCTCTCCATGGCTCCCCTTCTTCGATGTTCGTTAATACCGATGCTGTCTGCACAGCACTGATGGCTCACTTGCCAGCGAATCTGCCTTTCCGATGCGTCTGCCTCTCTTACTGCCTGTGAATTAACTGTAACTGGGTCTTCCCACCCCTCCCGTTGGTGATGACCCACTGTGGTCTCTTCCAGGATTCTTTCCCTTGAGCCTCCTCAGATATGGACAGGCCCCATCCTGTCCAGGGCTCTCCCTGCCCCCCTCAGGAGTGCCCTCTGCACCCTTTCTGATGTGCTTCCTGCGACTCAACACCTGCAGGCGCCTCCTGTTCTCTGGGTGAGACCTGGCTCATTTAAGTCCATGTCAGCCTGGTGAACCGCTTAACGGGTGCCAGGCAAGCTGCAAGACTGCAGAAACAGAAAGCACAGCACTTCAGGGAAAACTGCCACTGACTTCCTCCTCCTGAGTGGCCTAATGGTGACTCCAACTTCGCCCTCCTGAGGGCCATTCAGACTTGTGGTCTTCCGCCTGCAGGCTCTCTCCCACTTAGCACTCTCCCATGTGGCTTTTCCTTTTTTTAAATTAATAAATGTTTACTGCAGTAACACTGGCTTAGACAGGCGAGGTTCAGCTACAGCATTGTGACTGGAGGTCGTGTTGGGTCATCATATCATTTCCACCACCCCTGCCTCCCTTCAAGTCCTCAGCCAGAGAGCAGGTCGACAGCAAGCAGCTTATTTGCAAGTGTGCGCTGTGGCACTGGACATCTCTGCGCTTACGTGCTGTTGGTGACCACCACGCGCCTCCTGTGGGTGATGGCCACACCGCTGTGAGGGGCCCCAAAGTCTCATCAGAGCCATCAGTTCCCAAGAAAACGAGCTCGGACTTGGGGGCCAGAGGTACCCCCAGGGGTTCCCCTTGCTTGGCGGCACATTCTTGCCCGTTAACGAGACTTTTTAACTGTGGCGCGAGCTGTGACAGGAATTTCAGACATCACGACTGGGTAGCAGGGGAGATGCCAGAAGACGGACAGCAGGTGTCCCGCGGAGAACGAGCGGTTTCACGCCGACGCTCGCTCCCGCGGGGGCCGCACTCGCTGGGCCCGCGGCGCAGTAGGGGGAGCGGGGCGCCGCCGCCCCCGCGCCCCCGAGCGCCCGCGCTCGAGATAGACCGCGCTGCGGCGCCGCTTTCTCACCAAAGGGCCTGTGACGAACCATGCCTGGGGCGTTCCAACGTCATGGCCGACAGGAACGCGTCGGAGAACCCGAGAGCACAGCCGGCAATCCCGGGGGTCCCAGGTCCCCGGCCGCCGCGGGCCCCCGCGCCCGGCGCGCCCC